AGTTTAGCTTCCTCCTGTATGTGCCCTCCCGCACTTTTTTTTTTTTTTATGGAGGCAAAACAATCTGCTTTGTTTTAAGAAAGTACCTTGGAGGATCACAACTTTTACATTCCTCGACAGTCAGGGAAAGGAAGGCCCACTCTCTAACCCACTGACCATTAATAGCTTTTCAACTTTTCAACTCCACTTGTCCAACTGCATCACCAAGAGAAACTCATTCCCAGTTCACTTCAACCAGCCTTTCATAAACTGGTCTGCTTCAGATGTGTGGGGCATTGCAATCCAGGACAACTCAAGGACACCAGATTGGCCTTCCTGCTTACAATAGCAGAGAACGTGCAAGTTGACCTCCAGTTTACCCATGGCTGAGGCAATTGCTGCAATAGAGCAAAGAGAATTTAGTCACTCTCCCAGTTATCCACTTGGAAGCTATGTGTTATCTTCTCAGAAACATCAGCACGCTGTAGTGCAGTAGATGGGAGATCTTGTCTATAGCTCCTAGTATATGAACCTTTTAAAATCTTACAATATGGAAAAAGTTGGGTGGCTTCTTCATGCTAGTTGCTTCCCTTTTTGTTCAAAACAAGCAACCCCACCGTTATCAGAATGAGGGATCCCTCTCTCTTTTGAGATGAAACCTCTTTAAAGACTGAATATCTCTAATAGAAATCTGTATAGCTATTAAGCTCTTCCCAAAGTGAGATGAATTGAGGAGGGAGGGTGCAGTTCTAGAGGGAAGGCCATTCAAACAGGTCCTGGTTCCCCAGCCTGAACCCAGAAGCATCAGGCTACAACTCCCATTGTCCTCGTCCAACATCCTTGGTTTGCTGCTATGGAATTCTGGGATTGATTGTGATATGATAGAAGAAAGAGAGAATGGTAGGCAATAATTGTTTCTCTTATTTCACTGCTGTTGCTTGATTTCTGGAGTGTATGTGAATGTAGTTTGTTATCTTTCACTGGCAGCTTTAATTTTTTTAAATGTCCTGATCCAAATGTTTAATTTCCCACTACCGTATTGGGTGTGGGAACCTGTATCTAATTCTGGAATGTGCCTTCCTTGTGAAGTAAGAAAAAACTGTTTCAAGGGGTTATTAAATATTAGGCAGACTGACAACCAGGATGCAATTCTGCTATCACTTAGTCAAGGTCAGTGTTTCTGAACCTCAGCAAACTTAAGCCAGAAATTCTGAGAATTGAAGCCCATGCATCTTAAAGTTGCTGAGGTTGAGAAACACTGCTCTAGGTAACCGAGCTCTTGAATTCCTTCAGATTCCCTCTCCCTGTAACATTTGGAAAAAAATAACTCTATGCAATATTTCTCTGATCCTATACTTCCCTAAAAAATTTCCTTGGGTTTTCCAGCTATAGAAGCAGGAGACACAATGTTTAAATGCATCCATTACATTAGTTTTGTCTGCAGAAGTGGAGTGGGGCTCACATACATCTGAGTCTCTATTTCTGGGAAATTTGAACTTCTAAGTGACAACTGAGTAAGTTAAAGAACCTGTGAATTTTAGACTGTGGGTTTTCTTCTACATTCTTTATTGCACAAAAGCTCCTAATGGCCTGAACAATTTCACATAACTACGCACAATCTCCCTGCCAGCCTCTTTCAGAAAGTATAGAAATGAGAAGCTTTTCTAGTCGTTTTAGAATTAGATTAACCATTCTTAGTCAAAACACAAGCATGAAAGTGACAGATCAAAATGGAGGATGAAATCCTATAACATTCTGAGAAGGTCTAACTGAATAGAGCTTCAGTAGATGATAGTTTAAAGCTTGTCAGGGTTAATGGGTTATGTTAGACCAGTGATGGCAAACCTATGACATGCGTGTCAAAGGTGACACACCACAACATTTTGGGTGATATGCCAGCATTCATCAACACCCGACAACAACTATTCTCCCTGTTTGAGTTACCAAAGAAACTGAATTTGTTTTACTTGCATTTCATTTTTGTAATTATGTGACATTTCTTTATATAATACATAGCACCACACATGATTGGACTGTATTTTTTTTAAAATAAATGAATATACAGTATAAAGAATTGTTTCTCTTTTGTTTCGGGGGGAGGGTGTGACACGCCAGCAGAGTCAAGTTAGGCATTTTCCGAATTTTTGACACGCCGAGCCCAAAAGGTTCGCCATCACTGTGTTAGACTTTGGTCAAACAAATTTGAGATGTAGTATAAAGCCCCCTTCAGCCACTCAGCTCTTTGTGATAGCCACATTTCCATAGCAACAATATGGAAGTAATTTGCCACTGCCTTCTTCCTGAGATTTTTTTTTTTTAACTTTTGAGTTTAAACTGTAGGCCTATAGGGATTTCCTTGTGGCCCCCCATCCAAGTGCTAATCGAGTACACCTCTGCTTAGCTTTTCTGAGATATGTTTGCCCAAGTTCTCTCTACTGTGACAAAATGCAATATGAAACCAGTACAAATAGGCTTTATAGCCTACAAATACACATTCCAGCAAGCAACCTTTATGTTGCCCATCATGCATCACAGCCATGTGCTTACCTGTGTGTAAGTGTGTGCGACTTGTGTGTGCATGTGAAAATCAGGGGAAATTGCCATAAAACCTTATTCAATAATCTGGTAATAATTTTCATCTCTTCAAGGTGTTTGAGGGAAGTGCCTTAAAATATTTTTGGGAGTGTATAAGGGTTAAGGGATAGAACAGTGTTTGTTCAGTTACTTTAGCATTGCTGTGGATCATTTTTGCCTTTCCAGAAAACATTATTAAAGACATAAATAATAAAAGTTGGTGTTTAGTAACTACAACATTTCTGCTGTTATATTTAATTCCTGATGCTTCTCCTCTTATTTCCTGCCATTACTTCACAAATAATCAGCTCACATTTCTGTTTAATCTGTGAATCTTCAGAAAATGTGGACTTTCGTCCTCTTTTCGCTTTGCAAAGGGGTAGGTGGAGATAACTTAGCAAATGGGAAATTGATAGTTCTTATTACCCAGCTGGCAATTCTAGTTCAAACAAGGCCCTCTTCTGAAACTACTTTTTAGTCTAATATTCAAGGCAGGGCAGCGTAGTTTCTTCCTGCGCCACTTAGTCATCTCAGAAGTCCCGGATCATGCGGGAATACCGCAGCTCCTTCCCCTCCTTCATTCTGGATTGATTATAGGGTGGAGACTGTAGAAGCCCACTCTGTTTTTAGACAGAGGGCTCCTGGAGCTGCCAAGTAAACCAACCCCAATCATGTGAAAAACAGGATGTGCAACAGGTTGCCCCTTTAATTTATTGTGATTAAAATGGCACAAACCAAAAGGAAATAGTGTAAGCCTTGATTATGGTTATATTTTCAGATATTACAATCTTGTCCATAAATGATAACCAAAATCCTCATTTCCCCACCCATTTGCATGGTAGGGGTCACTGCGTTCCCTTTTACACTTGTTCTATCCAGATTTTCTACGGTACTTGCAGGAAAGTCTGCTAGCTGGTATATGATTTCAGAGCAACTTCATGTGGATGACCACTGCCTGGATCTGTGTGTATACTCCACAATTATATATTTAAATGTGTGTGTGTATAATATGTATGTATATCTAATCAGCTGGCATTTTGCACCTAAAACATTTGAATTCTGTGACCTCTCTGAACTATGCAAACTGAGCAAAAATGCATCTACCAGCATAGAGTCTGGCCGTAAGTGAAATGGTTTGGAGGAAAAAATGGTATCTGAAATACAGAGAGGTGATCTCCCTCTTATCACCCCATAGCACCTCTTTTTGCCATACTAGTGCCTCTCCTCCTGGGCACAAGTGTAGGTGCAGGAAGATGCCATTACAGGAATGTTTTCCATATGATTTCTGGCTTTATTCTGGGCCAGGATCTTGAAGGATCCGTTCTGCTGTTTCTTCAATGCTGCTGAAGGTGTTACTGGAAAGGCGCAAAGCGCGTGTTGGCAGTCAGTTCTGGAAAGAAGCAGTGAGGTGTAAAATAACTCTATTGCCTATTTTTCAGGACACGCTGATTGCTTGAGTGCAAACAATTGGTGTTTTCTTCTGATCAAATATTCTTCCATTCTTAATTACCAGAGTATTGTCCCTGCATTCCTGTGGGTGGGGGGATTATTGATACTTGTTGCCTGTATCAATATGTGATTACTGTGACATTTATTTTTTTATATATTGCTGGCAAAATAAAATATTTTTTGAATCAATGCATTTGGTCACATTCTTGGAACAGAAGGGAGGGTTTCTGTACTGGTTCCTGTTTGAGGTTTACTAGCTTTAGTTTAACATGATAGAATTGTTAAATTCTAAGCAATTTAGAATCTCGGGGATTCTGAACAGCAGAATTGTATGGTGCCACTACTGCTGGGCCACTCCAGCTTGGACTTGGCAAATTCTGTTATTTTTATTATTAAACATTCAGTTAACACTGAAAATGGCACATGAGGGTGCTGGAGTCCTGTCCTCGTCTAATTTTTTTATTTTTTTAATGTGGGGAAGCATTCAGACATTGCATAATCAAGCAACAACTACACCACATGATTCTCCTATTCAGCTGATCATGAGTAATTTTTAACCAGACAC